TACAGAAAACTGTTCTTAAAAATGATTAATTAAGCAAATATTTACCCTATTTAGAAGTGAACTCTAAGTAACAAAAATGTTTTTTGAATACTTTATTGAACATTTTCTAATGGACATATATAAGTCAATAATTAAAATATACTATATCAACATTGTTATATTTTATAGAGCTATAAGTATAACTACAATTTAGTGGATTTAATTGATACTAATATTGTGTTACATTTATTCAAAAATTAGTTAAATTATCCGGTATCACCTGGGAATACTTTACTGTTTTAGATTAACAGTTACTGTTTCTCTACAAAAAAAAGTTATAGTTGAAAAAACACACTATCGTCGTATAATCAAATAATATTTATTTTTATTTATGTTTACTATATTACACATACCTCAATCGATAACTATGAGTTCAACACATTAAATAAAACAAAAAAATTTCTAAGGTGACCAATGAATAAAAAAAATATACATCAAAACCCAAAACGGTTTCGACCCCTAAAAATGCGGTTTTTGAAAAACCTTACTTAGTACACCTAATGTATAATAATAATTACACCTCTCGACATTTCAAATTAATAACTAATAGATATATTAGTTAGCTGTGGGATGATGTCACAGAATGGACAGTATTTGAATTTAATACACACAAATTTTGTATTAAAATTGAACGAATCTGTTTTTTAGTATTTAATAGTAGTATTATTTAATGTTGAAAAACTTAAGTTTAATTCAAAAGAATAATTTATAGATTTGACACTTAGAGAGATTTTATTTACTTGAAAAAAAAATATATATATTTGTAAAGCATTTAATATGTTTTGTAATTATTATTGAATATATTACTTAGTATATTTCATTATTAAAATTAGTTTATAAAGTTCCATTAGGTAGAAATATTACCCGTTTGTTCAAACACTAATTGTATTTTATAAAACTTTCTTTTGAATCGAACATCGTGATTGAAATCACTGTATACACAGACTTGCAACACAATAATTACAAATTATCAGTACGCGTTTAAGTATTTAAATTTTGTCGAACAAAGTACAACCTGTGTAACACTAAAGTTTTTTTCGAATAAATTAGCAACAGAAATACAATTTACGACGGTGTACGAAGTCATTTTATATCACAAACATTTTTAAGAAAAATGAATAGATTTTTCGTCAGATTAGTGGCCCCCCCCCTCCCCTTAAGAGCTCAACTCGCGCGAAACACATGGTCCACGGAAATAGTTACAAGACAACTCGTTTCACGTGTAATAAAAATATTATGATTACACACCCGTTTGAAATGTATACACGTATTCGTGTACACATAATGTATACGAGACGGAATACCAGAAGAGAACACTGCACTTTTTACCTGGACATGTATCGCATGTATCGGGAAGAAATGAGTGGACGGATTCAAAAAATATTTTCTTTTCGAACCGAAACCGGTTTATACTGTTGAAGTTTAAAAATCGTACCGGCGTACGGGTTCGTTTTCCACGTACAACCGGTTTGCGGAACAACCATTAATAAAAAAATAATAATAATAAAAAAAAAAAAAAAAACATAATTTATTTTATTTTCATTATTTTAATTCGTTTTGAACTCTTTTGACCCTTTGGTTTTTCGGAGGCGCTTGTTTCATAACGTCGCCGCCGCCGCGTCTATAATATTACGTACGCGCGTGCATCCCGGCAGGGCGACCGTAACGGGTACCGCCGGCGCATTGTATTGGCGGCCCCGAGGCTGTACGATGACTTTCCGAGTGCATCGGACGTGTGCAACGCACAAAACAAACAAATATTATTGTGTTCCTTCGGAAGATTTTTTTTCGTTTACTGTCGTTTTGTACCGTACCCATGGTGTATTGGGTACCAACAACAGTTGTCTTTTCCTACCGATAATTGCCGTTTGTGTGCGCACGTGCTCGGTGCACGTTTAAACACACAACGGACGCGGTTTGTTCTGGGTCCACTGGGAAATGACCAATAACTTCATAACTAGTCGTTTCGTTGTAATAGAACATTTTTCGAAGCACCAAAAAGCACCAAAAGTGGGAAGACGCCACTGGTGTAATTTACGTTTCATACATCACGGGCTAAACGTATTACACGATATTGATTTTTTTTTTTTCTAACCAAAGCTAAAAATATTTAAACTCTGAGCCAAACGGGTGCGATGTCCAAGCATAAAAGAAACGATGAAACTCGTGTACGTCAAACATTATTCGCCTCGCCTCGAAATGCATTTATGTACGTGTACGTTTATAAGTGTATACACAAGTACACGAGTTTTTTCTTTCGTTCGTCACTCTATTGTGTTCGATTTTCGTTCTAAACAAAAGATCTATGGATTTGGCAATTTAAATCATTGAAATTTACACGAAATGTTTTTAACAAATTAGTGTAACTTGTTTGTTTTGGATAATACATGGCCCATGGGCATTGACAACCGGCATTTAATCTTATATAATCTGCAACCCTGTACATTATTACGCGATCATTGTAAAAGCAATAGATTTTATTTGCTTATTGACTTCGCACGTTTCGAGTATAAAAATGGACATCGTTAAGACTTATAAATGAACGTACGTTTTTGTGTGTTTACGCGGGATATCACATGAATTTATTTTATCATCTCAATTACATTAGGTTATTACCAACGCTATATTTTTTTTCGTGTGAATATCGTCGGGGAACGACATTTATTATATAGTATTTATGTTTCCATAAATATTTGAAAAAAAATAACACCTATACGGTTGTGTCTACTTATTCATAATGTATAAGCAACGTTTAAAAGGTACAGTTTTCATTTTGTGCTTATTCTAATTTAACTTTGATGTAGTCCACGAATTAAACATTAAATGTTATAACATGATGGATGTTCATGAGCCACTGTGGTATCATTAAGTTTTTAATTAAACATAACATGCGTTAGGCACTAACATATAGACAGTATACGAGTATACGCTGAAAGTAATTTACAAGATATGTATATTCTTGATTATTATTATTGTTATTATTTATTTATTATTAAAAAATACCCAAATTATCTAAAATGTTCTTCGAATGACATCCATTCGTGTACATATTTAATGTAGCGAAATCAATCGAACATTCGTTTTGATTCCATAGAAATGCTGGTAATTACAAAAATATTCAAATACGGTTCGGTGATTTTTGATTGTATTTATTATTAAAACAATATTTTCCTGTAATATTTTAAATATGAATTATTAATATTAAATATAATTTATGTAAATATAAATATATAAAATAAATTATTTGAAATATTAAAATATGTGCAATAAAATACATTTGTATCTCGTACATTTACAATACATTTTTGCTGATCTTTTCAATGTGATGTATAGTTTTTTAAAAATCAATCGAGAATTATTATGTTCTTATTAAAATTAGGCATTTTTTTATTCGTCGCAGAACTGTACGTAATGTATGCATAAATATGTTGCAGTAATAGAAAAAAAAATAAAACAACCAAAGCTTTGTTTGTAAATTCGATTCATCGAGTGGTAGGGAAATACACTTTTATTAATGCATTAATGATTCGTTTGGTAAAATGTGAATATCATATTAACAAGAATGCGTAACAAAATAAAGTCAACGTTTGACATTTATTATCCGTCTAACTGACAATATCTAATATACATTTACTCTATATTATTCAAGATCGTTCTTATGTCCATTTATCATGGTTTTAAAATGGTACAAGAGGCACGCAAATGTAAAACAAAACGATTTTATTGTTTTATTGAAAGATAGTGTAATACTAGTCATTATTCATTACTTACTTAATATAATAACATTTATTTTGAAACAATTAATTTTTTTAAACGTTTTATCGTTTTTTGGTTTTTGGAAGCAGAATATCTAAAATAATTTTCTATTCTAGATAATACGAAATATTTATGTTGTTAATATTATTTTATGTTTATACACATATAACAGAAATGAAAATTTATTCTGTTAGGTGCAAGTAAGGGATTACATTATTTTTAATCGATATATTCCTCTGATTTTCAATATGTTATAATACAGTATTGTGAGTTTATACGTTTAAAAGCCATACTTAAAGAGTAAGTAAACGTAATAGTAATTGTTAGATTAAAATCTATCAGCTCCTGGTATTTCACTAAAAACAAAAGTCTCTACGAAAATGTAGGCTATAAATTATTGTCGTTTAATATTGTTCTTCGCTACTTATACTTTACGATGGTAACAATTCGAGAATTTCATTCTCGAAACTACAGTCTATACGTTTTGTTGTCACTATTTCTATGCTTTAGCAAGCTTCCGTCGAGTATATCCTAATTGATTTATACGCGAATCTTGTGAGCCCCAACTATTGTACCTCTAAATGGGATTTTTTTTTTCTCAAAACATTTATTCTTTAGTTACGACAACAGGACTTGCAATTGTTTGTATAAAGAATTGGAAAATATTGACATCAATTAGTATGGCGTTTTGGCCACGAAAGACTTCTTGGGATATTAGAAAATTTCGAATAATTTGTATTTTTTTGGATGATTGCTGGCTGTTGGTATTATCGAATGGATAACATTACCATATAGGTCTGATAGCTAAAATCGAGTGGCAATCCGTGTGTGACCAAAAAAAAAAAAAAAGACTTTGGCCGCAATTCGGATGATTAGACGTTTTTACCGTAGAGACATCTTCGGGACGCAACTTTTATGCGGCCCTTTCTATCATCGCGGACCGTCCACAGCACGTACGAACGGTACACGAATTGACGTAACCGACATCGAGACACGCACGTACAACGTCCAATTGCGATTTCGGGATAACCGACGATACCCCCTCGGTGAGCGACGAACACCGGGGAAAGGGTGGCGGCCGCTCGGAGACGATGTCGCCCCGGCCAATACTCGATAAGCGCACAGAGGGGAGGGAGCCGGGTGGAAGGACCGGGCGGGTAGGAAAAGTCTTCTCGGACAATCCTGCGTGTGCACGGCGGCCGAGGCACTCCCATAACAAACTCGTAGCGCCGTAGCAGCACGCACGCCGCCGCGACCGCCTTGCTGCCGTGGTCGTCGTCGTCGCCGCCGCCGCCACCGCCACCTGCATCACCGCCACCACTTCATCTGACAACCTGCGGCGGCGGTCACTGAACTATCAACAGCGCTCGCGCGCATACACACGCACACACGTTACACTCGCACGCACGCACGTTTCGGTCCACCGTGTGTACAGTCGTGCAGCAGTATTCGTTGTATATGTAGTAGTATTAGTAGTAGTATTAGTAGTAGTATTAGTAGTAGTGTTAGTAGTAGTAGTAGTATTAGTAGTAGTATTAGTAGTAGTAGTAGTAGTAGTAGTAGTAGTAGTAGTAGTAGTAGTAGTTTACCTGCCGCGGTCGTCGTCTTCTGCGTGCGTACCATCCGCCGGCCGGCCGACGTGTCGTGTACATCGCTGTTGCAGTCTTCGCGGACACGCGTGCGCACACGTGCCTGCAAACCTAAGCACCGTCGTGACATCGAACATCTAGCGCGGGGATTTCGATGGCCGCGGTAGCGAGATAATCCCGTAGGGAGTCTTAGGCGTGTTTGGATCTTCGCGTTTGTGTCTTATCGGTCAGTGTTTTTTTTTTTTATTATTATTTTCGGGTATCTCGCCAATTCGTTCGTCCGCCCGGAAATGCGTATCGCCGGTTCGCGCGTCCAGCACCCGACCGGATGAATAGTATTGGCGGCGGCGGCGGCGGTGGCGATGTACCACCTACTGCAGCATCATCTGCGTGTCCACCGTCATGTTCCGTCGCAGCGCCGTGACTTGAACGCGGACCACCGTCCGACACTATCTCCGTCGTCGTCGTCGTCGTCACGTCATCGCCAATTCCAGTGAACGCGCGCGCACGCGCGCGCCACTAGACGGAACGGCAACAACAACAACAACAACAACAATAACAGCAGCAGCACCGACTGAACGCCCGTGACGTGCATAGCCATGGACGTGTTCAAGCTCGACCAGACGTTGGCCGCTGGCCTGGGCGGCGCGCCGCCGGCCGACAAGCTGACGCCCGACGTGTCGTTCAACGCCGGCCACACGGACGAGTTCAACCTGAGCTTTTTCGACGACACCACCACGGACACGGCCGGCTCGGAGAGCCACGACCCGCCGACCCAAGGGTTCGGCGGCGGCGGTGGCGGCGGCGACGAGTCGTGCACCGCCATGGACTCGGCCGCTTCTTCGCCGGCCGCCGCGTTCCACGACGTCCACGTGTCGTCGCCCAACAGCTCCGGTTACCGGCAGCCGGTCGCTTACGTCCACGCGGCCGCCGCGCCACCGCCGCCGCCGCCGACGCCGCCGAGGACCGTCATCAACGTGACGCCGTCTACTTCCCCTACGTTGGCACCACCAGCAGGTCAGTTTTTTCGTACGCGCTTCGTCGACGCGAGCTTTCGTCTTGCCCTCCTCCAACACTTCGGGTGCGGTAAACTTTCTTCCCCCCCCCCCCAAATATTATAATAATACTACTACGCGTCAACATAACGTTCCACCGTTGGGCGCTCGTTTTTTGTCGACTACGCCGCGAGATAAGTTTTGAAGTCCGCGCGTTGCGTCTTAAAACGGTTCATATATAATATATACGTGTGTGTGTGTGTGTGTGTGTGTGTATTACATCATAAGTATCGGTACGCGCACTGCTCACGACCGTGGTTCGATCTCTATGTATAGTTAAAATTTAGTGTTTTTTAATAACATATCGGTAAGTAGAGTGATGTGGTAGATACGCGCGTACACGATGTTATTTGCTATTTGTTGCATTATGTAAATCGGTAGTGAAAGTAAACGTAGGAAAAAAATAATAATCAATCTATTGCGACCGGTATCGCAGGAAGCGATCGCGTATTATATGATAATATTGTTTTAACTAAGTTTTCCGTGTCGCAGGCGAGTTCACACCGGTACGTTTGTTTGCTTACACAGTTACACATCTGATACGCATTGCGAGATTGGTTGCTATGAAAAAAATGTTTGTACTTGATAGCACGCGATTTTTTTTCGCATACGCGTTTACATTTCATGCCTTTTCATTATTATTATTATTATTATTGTTCGCAAGTTTGGTATGTAAATTGAAACGGCTATATTTTTGTTTTCCAATTTCGTTTTTGACGATTAAATAACATTTCTTTTATTGTGATTCCGAGTACTATCGAGCAACAAATTATGTATATCATTAATATGCGTCCATTCTTTCGACGAACACGAAACAGAATAAACTTTTTGTTTAAAATTTTATATTAAAACTTGGCTTATTTGTCCGACTTACGCGAAAACTGAAGTTAGAGGAATTCGTTTTAAAGCCGATTTGTTCAGCGGACCTTATTAAAGAAGCAGCGTCTGCTGAAACTTTCCACCGAGCACTTTCCAGAATTTCTCGTAATTAGTTCATAAAGAGGATTAAAAGTTTTCGCTAAAAAGACTATAGAAAGTTGCATAAAATTTCGTCGGAACCTTTTTAAGACTTCATCGACCACACAAAATGCAACGTTTTCAAACGGTCCGTTTCTATAGAACCGATTTTTTTCTTGACCAAATAAACCACCCCCGAGGAAATCGTTGGTTTTCGAACGTCGAAACCGTAATAATTTGATGGAAACCTCGGTGGAAAATTTCAAGGTCGTAGACGGAAGGTATGTACGTTGTATGCTTTCAATTTGTATCTACTACTAGTACAACGATTAAGCGGTTGTATAAGTTTATTTTTTTTCTCACATTCTGCGACCTGCCATCCCATCCAGTTGATCGATCGGCTTGCGATTGGTCAATGTTGTTGATGTTGAAGATCATTCACTTTGCTCGTGTACCGTTACCATGACTAACACATAGTTGCGCGCGAAGAGAGCACTACCTACTACCCGCACCTACGCCATTGGTTACCAAAACCGTTCACTGGTCCCGTGCCAAACAATGTTTCTTGCGTAATTTAATAGCATACCTAACTCGATTTGTTTTTATTTCGTTAGCTTCACCTTCCGGGTAAATTTTTTTCGAGCAAATACGCCCATCATTTTTTTTACTCTTTTTGTATCACGTCCATACAGGACACATGCACTAACAATTTCGATACCGAAAGACGTTCGTTTTGCCGAACAAATAATATTTCGTATGAAGTTTTATACACTTGCACAATAACGGATCAAAATTAATCCGAAATCAATCCTTACGATTTTACATAAGTATGCGTGTACGTGTATAAACGAAACTAATATTTATCATTCACAACGCGTACACGCCTAAAACACCGTAACTGACACGACTACGGTGTTAAAAATATTACTATTATTATCATTATTATTATTGTTATTATTATTACTATAATTATTGATATCAAGACAATCGGGAAAAAATTTGAATAAAAATCGCCTTTTTTCCATTAATTTTTTTACAAAGATTGTGCATTGTGTTGTGTCATTAAAAACAACGAATACAGCCAAGCTATGCGTGTAAAACTCAGATTTTCGGCGTATCGTTGCAAGCTTTGTACGAAGTATTGTGTTTCCTGTAGATATTGTACCTAAAACACTGTCAACGCCTGTCAGCGCGAGTAGAAGTATTTATTTTACCAAGCGAATCAAATATCATCGTGCACCACCGGTTTCCGCTTGCAAATCGATAGAAAATATTTTGAGCGTTTCGTTGTACGTAAAACTCATACTGTTTAGTGTTCACGTACAACGAATGTTTTTTTTTCCGATTTCATTTTTTTAATAACTGTTCGGTGTTGATGTATTGTTTCCGACAATCTATCATATGTGTCCGTCATTCGTGTTTTGTGTAAAACGAATTCTGCCTTCGTTTTTTTAACTTGCAATTTCAACGTAACTGTTCTATTACACAAATTACTTTCTTGTTGTTTTCGAGCACCGAATCGTCGACCAATATTTGTTCGCGTGATAGATCGAAATCTTTTTGTTTAAGAAATATATCGAAAATTCGATGTAAAGTTTAAAACGATTTTTAATCGTCCGTAATTTTGAAATATACGAAATGAATGCAATAACAATTTTAAAAATTGCAATGACGTTTATTAGCATAATATTTTCTTTTGCGGTACAGCGTATTGCGGGTTTGCAAAGGGTATTTCATTTATTTATAAGTAAAAAAAAAAGTAGTAGCCGGGCACGACATTTAATAAATAATAAAATGAGAACGGTTTTAAAAAATCCCTGAATGCAAGTATGTATATTATTATCGGCTGGTATTGATTTTTGGTATACGAGTCAAATCGATCTCAACGTCGTAGACTCGTAACACCAACAAATACTATAATATAATCCCTTACCCCTATCATTCAATTATTAATTGCTTTGCCGTATTTTACAAACTTGAAATGTTGAGCAATACGAAATTCATTAAAATCGATTGAAAAGCCTATCACCTATCAGCCCATCCACCTATCGCCAATACCCAGTTCTGCGTAGGGTAAGAGTTTTTTAATTTTATACAGAAATACTTAAAACCGAGTAAAACCATTGAATAATTTAAATATATTCTACCAAAAAGAAAAAATACACGTATCACTCGTGTGATTGCACTATGCAGTGGCGGTTTTACGGGAAAGGGGTACAGGGAGTTCATGGGGTCCATACCTCCCTCTAGGTCACGCGTTTAGATTACATTTTATACACGGATATACGAGTACGTTTATATATAAATCTGGTGATTTCAACTGTACATGTCCGTATACTTGAATGTTTTTTACAGTTACTGCCTATTTAGGTATTTATATTTTATCTGCTATTTTTGTCTTCATATATTATAAGATAATGTAAAAGGATCCCCTCTCCCCCAGAAAAAATTAAAAAAAAAACCGCCGCTGGCACTATGAGTTTCCTCTATCGTTAAATGCGACTAATTTATTGAACAAAACAAATATAAACGTAAGACACAATCACGAAGAACCAAACTTTTTCGATTCATTAAACTTGTTTATTTATACGTCAATATTACACGCAATATAGCTTTAATATGAAAATAATTTACTTAGATTCGATTATTATTATTATATTCATTGGAAACATGCGACTCATTCTATGATACTGTCATCATTGTTAAGATATTTTTAATTTTTTTTTTTTTTTTAAACGGAGTTTGTATTGAGTCAGATTAATAAAAACAATATATACTTAGTTGCGGGGGATAAATATTATAGATTTATGAATAACAACTGAATCATAGTTTAAAACTGTTACATTTTGATATATTATAAACCTTATGATTTTATTACAACAACAGCATTCAATTATTCATGTTTTTAAAACAATCTATATTTGATATTAATACATTTTGAATTTTAAATATACTTTCATCGAATCGGATTACAAACTCCGTTACGGTTTACGAAAAAAACTAAATATTAAATTATATTTAAGTAAAGTCATATTTTTCCATGGCAATATTAACTAAATAATACATTATACTGAGTCCGGTATTGAGCCATAAATGAATGGCATTTAATTTTGAAAGAAGTCGGTTACAAAAGCGAACAAATGAGTTATTATACTAAGTTTTAAACAGCAGAATCGGCATAGGAAATATTAATTAATTCTACGTGTTTTCGGTTCCGTTCAAAATAATATTGTTATCCCGCGAAAATCGAAACCATAAACAGGAAGGAGAAAAAAAATGTTTCATGTCCTTCAGGGTGACCACTTTTACTACCCGCGTATAATAATAAACTTTGTGTACACACAATACTTTTACGTGCGATCGTCAAAGTTACTTTCTTTCCGAGAAAGGGAAACATGATTTTTCATTTTTTTTTTTTTTTTTTTTATTACTCCCGGAGACTTGTATTATTCTCTCTCTCTTTCCCGCACTTCTGTTCCGTATCGTTCAGTTAGCATTTGACCGTTCATCTCCGTACAGAGTTGATGATCGTCAATAATTTTTCGAGTAGAGTTAAATTTCCAGGACCGACTCGTACCTAGATAAACACGTATTGTGTGTGATATTCGAGTACGATACGTGTACACTACTATTATCTACGGCCAACACTAGCACATGGTCGTGTACTTATTGTACCCGGTCGATCCGACCGTATAGCCGACGCGTACCGTACGCGCACGCACGCGCGCGCACGCACACACACGCACACACACTTGTACCGTGCTGTACTCGCACATTCATATATAAACGTGTGTGCGCCGTACTAGCGTGTACAGGAAGGAAAATGCGCGATAGAGACGGAACGAGAGACGGAAAGAGAGAGAAGCGATTAATTATTTATCGTCGGAACTGGTTTTGTGTTTTAAGTTTTGGTACGAACGAGCCTCGGCAACGTGCGTGCGCGGGGGAAGAGAGGCTGCGGGTAAAAAAAAAAAAAAAGAGTTGGCAAACTGGTTATGGCCGCGC